GCCACTTCACACGCTGAAGAGGCAACTCTCACTGTTACCAGATTCCAACAAAACAGAAGAGGCTTCTGTGATTAGAAGCAATTTGAACATTTAAACAACAGACAAGGCATATGCTTGGTGACAACTACAGTTGCACACCTGTATTGCACTAAAATTTATCTGCCTTTTTACCTTTGCACGCAACTCCCTATTCACCAGTCTATCAAACTCCAAAAAAACAAAAAAAATCAAACTTCATCAAGTTGCTGAGGGATTATGAACATGACTTGATGTTACCCTTAATCAAAGACTCACAGGAGAAGTGTAATACTTTTGTAAGGCCCTGCAGACAGAACAGAGAGTCAAATTTATGATTCTTCAAAATTTAGCAACAATACATTCTGTGTTGCTAGATAAAAATTAATCTAAGAAAACTGTAAATGAATATATATTTGAATTTATAAACTCAAGAGATACTAAAACCTACAAACTTAATACTGATTTCAATATCTTTGCACATACATTAGAAGCCAAGATTGAAGTTGCCCACAAAATTCAGTATGTGAGAGGCCCAAGGAGGGAATGCGATGATCTTAAAGTGCTAGTTTCACATAGAGCCATGGCAAGAGGGCTTAGGGACTTGTGACTTGAGATAGTTGTAACTTGTAAGGCTACTATATCTGCCTAAACTGATTGTAGGTTTTGTTATGATCAACCTGTAGCATGTGGACCAGCACCGTCCTGCATAGGACGAGCCCATCTGCTGATCAGTTTTTTTTTTCCATTTTGCAAATTCAAGAACCAGTCTGGCCCTCTTTTAAACACACTGAACACGTCATTTTCCTATGTAGTTTCTAGATTAACCAAGCACTGGTCCCATGGTTCATATACCAGAAACCAGAGTAGATCTTGAACACTTAAACCAGAGAACCAGGTTCAAACTGGGCGGCTGGTTAGGACTGGCCCATCACACCATCCCTACCTGTGGAATTTTAAAAGACGAAGCGAATCTCTCTACATGAAGATTAGAGTCTTGTTGAGTCATAGCCAAGAAAGCACAAGAGTCGAGACAATAGAGGGTTCATTCATGAATCAGTGAAACGATACAGAAGAATATATATTCCATTTATCACACATTCTATAGGGTTATTCTGGATCTTAGATTGTTTCCAGTACATGCAACAGAACGACTCAACTTCACAAGCAATATTAATCACAAGAAAAAAGAAGACATTGTATCATGCTGGGAGCGCGAAACTAGGTTGCTTCCACTGTGGCGGATCCATCACCAGGCAGGGATCTGATTTCTCAAAGTCAGCAACCTGTAAACAAATCAATCATATGAATCTTCAATAGAAAGAAAAAAACAAATGACACGAGTTGCATGCAAGAAGAAGACATATCAAAGCACCTTGTTCCCACACTGAGGACAATGGTGCTGTTTGTTCCAGAGGCAATCCATTGAAGGGCAGAGAAAGCAGAATCCAAGCATAAACGGCATCATGCAAGCAACAACAGCAGCTACACCAGGTTTCGATCTGTTTCACATCCAAATATGAAAATACATATCACAAACAAAGAAAACGTAAACCACAGGTCGTCACAATGAATATTAGCACATAAAAGAAAAGGTTGTGACAATGAATAAGTACAGTCTCATGCTCTTAAAATGCTTCAGAAGAATGAAAAATGTAGGCCCTAAACACAAATGCCGAGAAACGCGAAAACATAAAGCAGATTAACTTCATTAAAATCAACCACCGCAGGGATCAAAACAGAAGAGATCCTGAAATTAAGCACCATCTAAATAACTCCACCAATAAGGGCAAAATGTTGTTAACAACAGAAGAGTCACAAAGCAGTAGCTTTATCTTATCAGCTTAAACATATTTTTTGAGAGAAATTAACAATAACTGGCTTCATCAATGAGTTTTGTAACAGTTTGTTCATATAGAATCTCACATTTCATATGCAAAAAAAAAGCTGTCGTTGATCAAACATTGCTAATGAAACACGCAATCCAAGTTTGAGAATCCTGAAGCAATCGATCAAACAAAACCTAAATTCTTCATCTCATACTCAAAAACCACTGGCAATAATGATTAGAGGTGCTAATTTTTCTACTAAGTATTGAAATTGCCGATTGCAAATTCACTCGATTTATTATAATCGAGTCGTAGAAGAACAAGACTCTAAAATGGTATAGGTGAAAACCTGAGATTGGTGAGACCAGTGTCGCCGCAATAAAGGCAATTGAAAGGAGCAGGTGTGTCTCGATAAATCGTTTGCTGAATGGGAGCACCCAACGGATCACCATAGATAGCATTCGGCGGCACAATTCCGGCCTGATACGGATTCTGCCCCGCGTAATACGGAACTCCGATCACCGTTGTTCCCTCTTTCGCCATCTCCTTTATTTCTACGATCAACGATTTAAGATGAAGCAAAATCACAGCGAACAAGTATTTTAGAAAATGACGAAGCTGATTTCGAAGAGTCTTTACTTATGATATGAAATTTTCCAGAGAAATTACGCGTAAGAAGGTAGATGGAGTTTCAAGGAAATTTCCAAATCTCTGACGATTACACGCGTGTACTTTTAATTTGAGATTATTTATTAGTTGATATTTTGATTCCAAGGAATCACCCGTCTAGAAGATAGAGGGACTCCACACTTAATGGGCCTTCTGTGTAAGAAAGAACTTAATACATTTATTGGGCTATTAATTGTCTAAACCAGCGATCCACTACAAAAGAACAACGTGTTTAGGCCTTCTTTGCCGACATACAAGAAGATTCACCAAAATCTGATAATCATTGAATGACACAGAGACCTTTCTAGTATGTTTCTAAAATCTTGTACTTATCAAGAACAATTCTTAAACTATATCGGTGTTCTTTTCTTATTGGTTAAGGATTAAACAAAATGTCAAAATCCAGCATAAAATAGTCAAACTCTTAATCCCAAAGGTAAAACATCATCAAAACCGCGTTTTATATGTATAATCCAATCTTATAAATTTAAAATCAAAGTTAAGCACAATCCATCAAAATCCATTTCAATAGAAGAAGAAGATCGTTCTAGAATCATCAACCAATTCAGAAAATTTCAGACATGACAGGATCGCAAGGAGAAGAGACTCACCAACCTAAGATCGTTGATCAAGAACAACCCAAAACTGTAGAAACAGAGCACCAACCACAGCCACAACCAGAACCTTCTTCATCGTCTCCTGATCAGAAGAAATGGGGTACTCACGTGATGGGAGCTCCTGCAGCTCCCGTGGCTCATCCCGATAACCAACAAGCGGCGGCGTGGGTCGCCGGAGATAACCAGCAGACGCAGTATCAACCGTACGTCATCTACTCTCCTGTCGAAAATCATAATAACAACCCTCTTGAACCCGTCATCGGAATGTTCCATACCTGGAGTCGCAAGGCTGAAACCGTCGCACGTAACCTCTGGCACAATCGTAAGTCTCCTTCCACTTAATTGGAGCATTTGGACCAAGCAAGTTTGAGTCTTTGACGGATTTCGTGGGTTTTGTTTCTGCAGTGAAGACAGGGCCGTCTATGTCGGAAACAGCGTGGGGAAAGGTTAATCTGACGGCGAAAGCGATAACAGAAGGAGGATTCGAGTCGCTTTTCAGACAGATCTTTGGAACAGAGCCAAACGAGAAGCTGAAGAAAACTTTCGCTTGTTATCTCTCAACGACGACAGGTCCTGTTGCTGGAACTCTGTATCTTTCGAATGCTCGCGTCGCTTTTTGCAGTGATCGTCCTCTGTACTTCACAGCACCTTCTGGTCAAGAATCTTGGAGCTACTACCGGGTAAAGTCTTGTTTTTGTAAAAGAATGAATTTGGAGATTGTGGGATAAAAGTTTAAGTACAATGTTGTTTGATGTTTGATGGTTTTGTGGCAGGTGGTGATACCTTTGGGAAATGTTGCGACTGTAAATCCGGTGGTGGTGAAAGAGACTCCGCCTGAGAAGTATATTCAGGTGACGACGGTGGATGGTCATGACTTCTGGTTCATGGGTTTTGTGAATTATGAGAAGGCTACGCATCATCTGCTTACCAGTGTCTCAGATTCTCAAACCGCACACGGCTCAGTCTCGGATTCTCAAACCGCACACGGCTCTGTGTCTGTTTAAAGCATATTCCTTAATGTTTTGTACTTTGGTTTTCTTTAGTTGTGTGGTTGGTTTTTGCTGCTCATGTTTCTATATGTTTATGTAAATTATGTATCAGAGCTGGACTTTTGTGAGTCTCAGAATCTCAATTTGTGTGTTGATCAGAGTTGGTTTCACTGATTTATTGATTTCGTCTGCAGTACTAGTTTCTTTCTAATGGTTATTGCGGACTTTTGAGCCGAATTCTATACATTTCCGTGTTAGAGCTGTAATTGTTTACCCCAAGCCACAATCAAACTATGAGTTTTAACAATCTTCAGAAGATCACAGAAAATGCCACTAGACGGTCTTGACCAAACTCACTTAATCTTTGCAATACTTATTCCTTCTACCTTAGTATCCATTAGACCAAACTCACATGTAAGCTAGTAATTTCTGCGATCTCGTCAGTCGTCACAGCTAGCATGGCAGGCAATAACCATCCATATCTTACATAAATGACTTTCTTTTTTATTTCTGTAAATCTATTGGTTTCGTACTGTACTTTCCACGTTGTTTACTGTTTGAATCCTTAAAATACTCAAAACTAGTACTACATAATTCGAACTCCTCGATCGTCAGATTCATCTAGAAAATAGAGCAATATTTTAGTGATGAGATGACAAGTGGTGGACTGAATCCTAGAGATATTTATTTCATAAATCAATGAGACTTTTATAATCGTTGATTCCTTCGCCGCCTCCACGGATCTTTGGCCAATCAATTTTGACTATTATAATACAACATATAAAGTCAAAAGTCTTTCCAAACAACGTGATCCCCAAGTCAGTGAATTGCATAAAAAATTAATTGATTTTAAGTTCTCTATGCATATACATATAAGGATATATTTGATCTTTTTGTAAACAGAAGTTATCCTTATCAGTTTGTAACAATTTTCGGAAGCTCTAGCTAATTAGTCGGCTTATTCACATGTATATTAGGTGCAGCCTCTAGCCTCCTTAATTCAATAACACAATCTTCTAAATAGTTTCTATCATCTATCACTTCTAATTTCTAAACAAAAACCATGCCTCCTTCTCCGTTGCTTGGTCCACCAGAGCTCAGAGATCCCAACTCTCTCCTCCCAAAACCCATCACAACTTCTGGTCCCAGCAACCCTTTCATGGACGCAATGGTCTCAAATTTCAACAACTCAACTAGAGTCAACGTCATCTCTTCTCCTCCCATGGGCTACACCGAGAACAATTCCGCCACACACCTCTCCTCAGGCAACCCCTGCCTCGACTTCTTCTTCCACGTTGTTCCAAGCACGCCTAAAGACTCTCTGGAGCAGTGGTTACAGGGAGCTTGGGACCACGACGCCTTGACCACTCTCAAACTTATCTGTAACCTTCGTGGAGTCCGTGGCACCGGAAAATCCGACAAGGAAGGGTTTTACACGGCGGCTTTATGGCTCCATGGTCGTCATCCCAAAACTCTAGCTTGTAACCTCGAGTCCCTCTCTCAATTTGGATACTTTAAAGATTTCCCAGAGATTCTTTACCGGATTCTACAAGGATCTGACATCAGGAAGATCCAGAAATCAGAAAGGTTCAGGAGGAAAACTGAAGCATCTCGAGGTAGAAGAGCTCCTTTCTATCCCAATCACTCGGGTGTCTCATATGGCGGTCGTCCTTATGGTGGTCGTGGACGTGGATCCGGTCGCCGCGGTGGTAAAAGGAAGCCAGTGGCCACAAGGGAGCTGAGAGTAGCTAACGCAGAGAGGAAGAACCAAGCGGAGAAAGCCAGAGCAAGCTTGGATCGCAAGAAAAAGAAGGTTTCAATGGGGAAGGACGCTTTTACAAGATATTCTCATGATCCAGACTATCGGTATCTCCACGAACGCGTCTCTGATCTATTCGCAAATCAACTAAAGAGAGATCTTGAGTTTTTGAAATCCGACCAAACAAACCAAATCTCTCTTGCTGCTAAATGGTGTCCATCGCTTGATTCTTCTTTTGACAAAGCAACTCTTCTCTGCGAGAGCATTGCTAGGAAGATCTTTCCTCGAGAATCATTCCCTGAATACGAAGGCGTTGACGAAGCTCACTATGCCTACAGAGTTCGTGATCGTCTAAGGAAAGAAGTTCTTGTTCTTCTGCGGAAAACTCTGCAACTCCCTGAAGTCTACATGGGAGCGAGAAACTGGGATACCCTTCCGTACAACCGTGTAGCATCAGTGGCAATGAAGACGTACAAGGATATATTCTTGAATCACGACGCAGAGAGGTTTCAGCAATACCTTGACGATGCAAAGACGGGGAAAACCAAGGTAGCTGCTGGTGCTGTGTTACCTCACGAGATAATCAGAGATTTAGACGGTGGAGACGGTGGACAAGTAGCTGAGCTGCAATGGAAACGAACGGTGGATGATCTGAAAGAGAAAGGTTCTTTGAGGAATTGTATCGCTATCTGTGACGTTTCAGGGTCTATGGATGGTGATCCAATGGAGGTTTCAGTCGCTTTGGGTCTGCTAGTCTCTGAGTTATCAGAAGAGCCATGGAGAGGAAAGCTTATAACTTTCAGCCAAAACCCGGAGATGCATTTGGTGACAGGAGACGACTTGAGATCAAAATCAGAGTTTGTGAGGAATATGCAATGGGGAATGAACACTGATTTTCAGAAAGTGTTTGACTTGATTCTGAGAGTTGCGGTAGAAGGGAAGCTGAAACCGGAAGAGATGATCAAGAGGGTGTTTGTGTTCAGTGATATGGAGTTTGATCAAGCGTCTTCGAGCAATGCATATGGAAGGCAGTCAAGGACTAATGGATGGGAAACTGATTATGATGTAATTGTGAGGAAGTATAGACAGAATGGGTATGGAGAAGTTGTGCCGGATATAGTGTTTTGGAACTTGAGGGATTCGAGAGCAACGCCGGTGCCGGGAAACAAGAAAGGAGTGGCTTTAGTAAGTGGGTTTTCGAAGAATCTGATGAAAATGTTTTTGGAGCATGATGGAGAGATTGATCCTATGATGATGATGGAGGCTGCTATTTCTAAAGATGAGTATAAGTCGCTTGTTATAGTTGATTAAAAACTTTAATGATTTTGGGCTTTGGTTTTGTATTCCTAGTTTTGGTTTGAATCTTTTAATAATATGAAACTTTGATTGCATTTTATTTTAGTAAATTTGGCCCATTGATTTATTTTTTCTCTTACACCGAACCAATCCAATCGATCCGACAACTCCAACCTGGCTTTTCATCCTCAATCGATGCTCTAGTGGGGTCTCTTTGTGTCTTGTCTCCTTTGCATAAAGGAACCATCTTTTCTTTGCATGTAGTTACTCTCAGGCGATCTGGAGACCTCTTTCTTATTCGATTTTGCCGACTCTCAGATAAGCTTCTCTTCCGAACCTGCCTCACTCTGATTTTGCCGACTTTCCAAGTTCAATACTAACGACTTGCCTCTTCAGCTTCACAGATCCCTCGCTTACGGTCTGATCTCACATTAACTATGGTTCTAATTGGGTTATTACGTATGTGGGTTTATTCTATTGGGTTTTGATTACTAAATCTGTTCATGTATTGGGTCTTTCCCATATAATACTGCCCGGGCTGGGCCTGTAAGTTTTTAGTTTCTTAAATTTATTAATTGCAAGCCCTTCAAAAAAAAAAAACACTATGGATGGTCTCTCGGCGATGAACGACAACAGAAAACTACCGTTTCATCTACTTTCTTCAAATGGGCTATACTACTCCAAATCATGAGTTTTTCTTCTCTAAATGGGTTTACTACCTTAAGGGGCTTTTCTATTACATTTTATGCAACAAACTAACAAAAGAAAACAATTGATAATATGATGAAATTTACTTAACATTACAGTTTGCATATTTTTGTTTTCGTTTGAAGATTGCATTCTAAAATTTTGAAAATTTTATAATTTGTCTTAGATGAGATTAAAGGGGTAAAAGAAGGGCAAAGTCGTATATGAAAGATGGATAAGAGGGGCAAATTAGTGAGCTTGTAAAATACATCGACATTAAAAATCGGCAGCACTGACAAAAAACGTGAAAATCCTCCAAGGAAGAAAAGAATAAATAAGGCGTATTGACTCAGGCAGAGAAACTGATGGAGAAGTGCGCCTTGCCGCCTAGTGAATAATGATGTATTGACATTAACAACATTAACTACTACTACATCTCTTAACACGTGAAAGACATGCATCTAAACTCTTTCTCTTTCGGCATCAAACATAAACTTCTTTTCCTTTTAATACATAATTCCTTTTTAATTATTTATTTGTTCAAGGCTTTGAAGCCACATTCATTAATTTATTTTAGTTTTGTTAATCAATATATTCAGTGAATTATATGATTGCTAATTTATTTTAAGTTAACATGCAATATAATAAGTTATCAAGTTTAATTTAAATTTGATCAGAAGATAAGAAAATTGAGGTCAATTTAATTCGGAAGTGGTTCAAGGTTTTCTTTTCACAAGATAGAAAAACGTGACTTCATTGAATCCCTCTAAAACTTTGTTGGAGGAAAATGTAGAAATTTGTAAATCTGGTAAAGAAAAAAGAGCGGCCACATATCCTTTCAACAAAAGAAAACACAAGGAGCGGATACATATGAAAAAACACCACCCAAAATGCCAAAATGTGAAACTAAAAAGGTAAAATTAAAACATTGACACATATCATCCAAACGATCGACCGGTCATTTCTGGTTTGGCAGAAAACAAACTTCCAACTTCCACGTTCCAACTTGACCAGATTTTCTTTACATTCCAATGGGTTTGAAAATCTTTGTATTTAAACTTTTTCAAATTAAAACACTAAAATCACCACCGACATTCTATTGTTCTGAATCTCTATTTGTATGTTTTATTGGTAACTCTTCTGAATATGATGAAAGTTTATTGGTGTACACTCTTGTTTAAAAATGTAAAAAAATTCAGTTGTATTATTATTAGGTCAACTAATTCCTGAATAGTAATGTCAAGAATATTGTTTATTTAAAAGTCAATAAGACAACAAAAAAAAAAAAAAGTCAATAAGACTGACCTGTAATATGTGATTTGCTATACTAGTACTTGCAAGATTAAAATCATATAAAAGGTAAAAGTGGAAAAAGAAAAACATGTCTCGAGAAAAATATACAGATCATAGACTAGAGAGTAGGAAAAACGTAAAATGTCAGAAGAACCCAATGTGACGAACAGTAACAGAAACATGTTAGCATGCTCACCAAAATTTGAAGATATTTTAAAAACATCACTACTATGTTCATTGGACTTCCGTTATTTCCGGATAAAATAACCAAAAAAAAAAAATCTTCTTTTCTGCGTAGCAATTACAGTAGGTATATTAAACAATTTTAACATGTGTTTTAAATCATTAAATTAATTAGATAAGAGGAGGTTGGGAGCCTAATAAAAACAAAGAAAAGAAAAAAGTGGTTGCGTTGCCAATTGTGCCGAAAGAAAGAGAAAGCATGAACCTCGTGCGTTAATGATATCAAACGGGTATACATACATTTTAAAAACTCTCACATGAAAATCAAAATCCTTTATTATTCCTCCAATACTTCATCTCTCTGGATCGCTCTCACTTTCTATGATCAAAGAAGAAAGATGTCGAAAGCTACCGTAGAACTCGATTTCCTTGGCCTCGAGAAGAAGCAAACCAACACCGCTCCTAAGCCTAAGTTCCAGAAATTTCTCGACCGCCGTCGTAGTTTCCGAGGTTTCTTTTCACCTTTTTTTTTTTTTTTTGAACGATTAATCGGTTCTTTTTTAAAAAATTTGGAATTAATTTCCTTACAGAAATTCAAGGTGCGATTTCGAAAATCGATCCGGAGATTATCAAATCACTGTTAGCTTCCGGTGCTAACCATTCCGATTCATCAGCCAAAACTCGTTCGGTTCCGTCTACACCAAGGGAAGATCAGCCTCAGATCCCGATTTCTCCGCTCCACGTGCCTCTCGCCAGGTATTTTTGTTTTTTTCCGGTAAAGTTTTTTTTTAATATTTTTTTTGGCGCTTACAAGGAAAGAAGAAATTTTTTGAAATTCAAATTTTCGAAAACTCTCTTCAGGTCCAGTACGGAAGTCGTTTCGGGAACTGTTCCAATGACGATCTTTTACAATGGAACCGTCTCCGTTTTCCAAGTGTCTCGTAACAAGGCTGATGAAATTATGAAGGTCGCTACGGAAACAGCTTCTAGGAAAGACGAATCGTCGATGGAGACAGATCTTTCGGTAATTCCCCCGACCACTCTAAGACCAACAAAGCTCTTTGGCCAGAATCTAGAAGGAGGTTAGTAGAGTACAAAAAATTAACAAAAAAATTCACTTAGTGCTTGATTCTTCAAGAGTTTATTAACCTTATTTAGATATTGTTGCATGTGTAGATCTAAGAAGAGTTTGTTGTTAGAGAGGATTTTGTTGCTAATTAGATATGAATGACTATAGATTATGCCAAAGATTCCCTAAAATTTATTTAGATATTTATAAACATTATACTTAAAACGTATAAACATGTGGTTTAATTTCTGATAAGGAAATGGTTTATGTGTGTGTTTAGATCTTCCCATCGCCAGGAGAAAATCACTGCAACGTTTTCTCGAGAAGCGCAAGGAGAGGTAAATATTCTTCAACAATCCAAGGATTTTTACCCCACAAATAATTAAATAAGGTTTTAATTTTTCTCCCTCTGTCGACTTTTTTTTTTTTACTAGTATAATTTATTTAAGATACTACTAGTAATTAAGGTCCTGCCTCTTTTACCCTCATTCAAGTTAAGATTCATCTAGTTTTGTTCAACAAAGCACATGCTTCTACGTAGATAGTAGTAGTAGATAATGGAGATTAGTAGTAGAGGTATTACGTAGGTTATTATAGTGCAACTTTAAAAACGCGTTGGCTTTGACTCTATTTCAGCTTGCTACACCGACAAGTTATCTTTTTCAAAATGATTCGATTTATTAATGATGAGAAAATGAGGAGAAACACCGAAAGAAAATTGAACTTTTGTTTGGTTTTTATTGGACCATAAGGCGAAAGAAATACAGTATCTGTTTATAATACTACAAGTTACTACAAAACGCGGTTTCACATTTTCTTTTTCGTCTTTTTGTGTTTGCAGATTAGTATCAACATCTCCTTACTATCCGACATCGGCCTAAACGATCTCTTTTTTAGATTGGGACATGGACCAAATTTGTTATTTTCAACCACACTTGGAAGACATGGATGTTCGTTTTGGATTTGGCCTATTCCCAATCTCTTTTGAAGCCTTCTTCGTCGTTGCTAAATCGTATACTATTCACGACACGTTTTTAGGAGATTACGTTACCTTCTAAGATTATATATATATATATATATATATATATATATATATTAGTATTGTTTTTTTAAATGTTTATTATCTTTAATGTCATTGATACTTTAATTTAAGAAGCTCTCTGTTATCTCGTGACATCTACTTTTGTTTTATTTGGTTTAGTACTATTTGGAAAAGAAAAGAAAAAAAGATGGCTAACTACACGAAGTATCCGCGAATACATGACTACACATGCAAAGTTTAAAAATGTATCTCTAACTACACAAACTATATGTATCGCATGCCCACATATACGAACTATATGTAGTCATGTCGCCAACATCATAAACAATTTTTTCCGATACATTTTTCGCCGGAATCCGGTATTGACCAGTTTGACCGTCGTTGACCAATATAAATATTCAAAAAAAAAAAAATATAGTTTTTTAATATTTATAAAATTATGTTATTGAATCATTTATAATATTATATAATTAAAAAAATATATACAATATTCAACATAAGAATATTTTGTATATATATATTCAATGCATTGATATTTATAATTAGTTAGTTTTGATAATTTCAAAACTAAACTAAAAATAAAATAAAAACCAATTAGGTAAAATAATTGTAAATATGAAATTTTTGTATAATATGTTTTGTAAATATGAAATTTTTAGTTAGTTTTGTATAATATGTTGTTAATTTTTGTATCTAAAATTATTACAAAAAATTATTTTAATAATACAAAAAAAATTAACAACATATTATAAAAAAACTTTAGACTAGAGAGTATTTAAAATTTTCTATTTATAATTATTTTACCTAATTGGTTTTTGTTTTATTTTTAGTTTAGTTTTGAAATTATTGAAACTAACTAATTATAAAAATCAATGCATTGAATATATATACAAAATATTTTTATATTGAATATTGTATATATATTTTTAATTATACAATATTATAAATGATTCAATAACATAATTTTCTAAATATTAAAAAACTAAATTTTTTTTTTTAATATTTATGTTGGTCAACGCCGGTCAAACTAGTCAATGCCGAATTCCGGCGAAAAGTGTACCAAAAAAAAATGTTCGTGATGTTGGCGACATGACTACATATAGTTCGTATATGTGGGCATGCGATATATATAGTTTATGTAGTTTAGGATCCATTATTAAACTTTGCATGTGTGGTCATGTCTTCGCGGATACTTCATGTACCGGCCATCTTTTTTCCAAAAGAAAATGAACACGCCTCTTTCAGCATCTCATGAAGCTTCCGTATTAAAAGAATTGTGCTCATTCATCTTTGATTTTATTGGTTGGTCTAGTTTAGTTTGTCCTTATTATTAATATAATGGAAACGAGATTAAGAAACACGTGAATATTAGTTATATAATACGACCAAGTCATGCTGACTAAGGTGTATAATTATGTCAAAAGTCTCAAGTCTTGACATGAGTTTGGTGGAATTGTAAATTGGGAAGAATAAGAAGAGAAGGCCAGAGCGAGCGTACTTTGTGTGTTTCTTTTTGACCATTGCCACTTTCATTGAATAGTATCCATCACTAGCACTAAGTAACAGTGGCATGGCTGGTCCGGATTTAAGAAACAAAAACCACACAACCATTTAATGTGCGTCTTTTTCATTGAAACCAAAAATCCTGTAGCTTACTGATATTGAAATATACACCACTGGCATATATTGGGATATTTTTCTTATATGTATTTTTTGTTACAAATGTTTTAGTGTCGTAAATATTTGTGTTTAGTTTGTTATTAGAACAACATTAAACAAGCAAATTGCTTCTCAGTTAAAGAGAAAACGTAAATGAGGTCATCATTTCTTATTATCATCTAATGGGATGACATAAACTACTTTTCATAATGCAATGGCAATGAGTCAATGACATAAACTACACAATGGCTCATGAGAGTACGAAACTGACGTTTTTGTTTTGGAAACGAAATACTATCTTTTCAGGACTGCTTGATCTATTTTATCTTCCCAACAAGGTTTATGGAGTAACATTTTTTACAGGTCTATAAGTTCTAAAAGCCAATGATTCAAATTAGTCTTAACCTAGGAATGTTTTGTTTTTGGTCTTATAACAATTCTGATCCCTACTATTAAAGACTAATTTCGTAAGTACGATTAATTAATTATTTAATCATTTGATTCAACATAGTCTCAATAGTTTAGCTAGTTCGTTTGGAACAAATCTATGTATCCGATTAATCCCAGTATGAAAAGGTGGTTTAAGCATTTGGTTCGTTTAAATAGCTCCGGTGGAGGAAGCACCAACCTAGGGACTAAATTAACATTTGGCCATATCAATCCAATAGAAAAAACCAACCTATGTCAACAAATCGTCGAAAAACAAAAACTGTAATATCTGATTCACATCAATTTGAAAAGAAACTTTAGAAACAGGGATACTAAATTTGAGGAAAATCCTTGTAAATTTGCTGATAAAATATCGATTGCTACAAACCATTCAATATACTAAACAGAGAGATTCAATCCCCAAACCAAGAAGAAGTTACATTATTTACAATTCACCGCTATTAACACTAAGCAAAAAAATAAAATCAAAACAGATTATTAAAAGGAGATTGACGAATCGGAACATCAGTTTTAAAAAGCTCGATTTATATAATCCGCATGATTTATAGGAAAGCACCGTTGTAGTGCAAAATATTCATCATCTGCTCCGATTCGAAATTAAGTATCATCAAAATTCAGAAAAACAAAACAAAATCTAATCTAGCAATATTGGCTTCGAAATGCAAAACTTAAACACGGAAAAACAAATAAAGAAGAGTATGTTGAAGAAGATCTAACGAGAGAAATCTGAGTCTGTTAGGCTAATTCACAGCTAAAGTTTACTTTATAGGTGAAGAAGCCTTAGACTCGGAGAAACCCTAGTTATCGAATTTGGGCCACATGGGTCACACTATGACACCTTTCTGATCCGGCCCATATCTCATTATTCTAAATCGGTTTTTCCAGAAACATTTGATCTCAGTTGGGATAGACCGGTTTATTCAAAACCGGATTGGACACTACTCCTCTCTCAGCTCGAAATCCGCATGATCGGGTTCTTGAGAATAATTCATGTTGCGGAGAGTCGTAGATTGATGATCCAATGCAATCGCATTCGACAATGTGGGTTTTCTGTGCAAACAGCCGAATCGTCTGTGCAATGGTCGGATTCGGTAGTCCCATGCTTAGACTCTCATGCTTATGGTACAATGCTCCGTCGCTGCATTCGGAAAAACGACTCAGTTTCAGCAAAGGCTATTCATTGCGATATCTTGAAGAAAGGAAGCTGCTTGGACCTTTTCGCCACAAACATTCTACTCAACGCTTATGTGAAAGCTGGGTTTGACAAAGATGCGTTGAACCTGTTCGACGAAATGCCTGAGAGAAATAATGTCTCTTATGTTACTCTTACTCAAGGGTATGCGTGTCAAGATCCCGTTGGTTTGTATTCCAGGTTGCATCGAGAGGGTCATGAGCTTAATCCACACGTCTTCACATCTTTCTTGAAGTTGTTTGTTAGTTTGGACAAAGCTGAGATTTGTTGGTGGTTGCATTCTCCTATCGTTAAGCTTGGTTATGATTCCAATGCTTTTGTCGGAGCTGCGCTTATTAATGCTTACTCCGTTTGTGGTTCTGTTGATAGTGCAAGATCTGTTTTTGAGGGGATTTTGTGCAAAGACATTGTTGTTTGGGCAGGAATTGTGTCTTGCTATGTAGAGAATGGATGTTTCGAAGATTCTCTTCAGCTGCTGTCTCGTATGGGGATGGATGGTTTCATGCCCAACAACTACACCTTTGACACGGCGCTTAAGGCTAGTATTGGGCTAGGTGCATTTCATTTCGCCAAGAGTGTTCATGGCCAAATCTTAAAAACATGTTATGAGTTGGATCCTCGTGTGGGTGTTGGTTTGCTTCAGTTGTATACACAACTCGGAGACATGTCTGATGCTTTCAAAGTGTTTAATGAGATGCCAAAGAATGATGTGGTACCTTGGAGTTTTATGATTGCTCGTTTTTGTCAAAACGGTTTCTGCAACAAGGCGGTTGATATTTTTATTCGCATGAGAGAAGGTTTTGTTGTCCCTAACGAGTTTACTTTAAGCAGTATTTTGAATGGCTGTGCCATCGGAAAGTGTTCTGGCTTAGGTGAGCAACTCCATGGCCTTGTGGTCAAGGTTGGCTTTGATTTGGATGTCTATGTCTCAAATGCTCTTATTGATGTATATGCCAAATGTGAGAAAATGGATACCGCTGTGAAGTTATTTGCTGAGTTATCAAGTAAAAATGTGGTAAGCTGGAACACAGTCATTGTCGGGTATGAGAATCTAGGCGAAGGAGGAAAAGCGTTAAACATGTTTCGTGAAGCGCTCAGAAATCAGGTGTCAGTAACTGAGGTAACTTTCTCAAGTGCTCTTGGAGCTTGTGCTTCTTTGGCGAGCATGGAGCTCGGTGTCCAAGTTCATGGACTGGCGATAAAAACCAATAATGCCAAAAGGGTTGCAGTGAGTAACTCATTGATAGATATGTATGCAAAATGTGGTGATATCAAAGTCGCACAAACTGTGTTCAATGAGATGGAAACGATAGATGTAGCTTCATGGAATGCGTTGATCTCAGGCTATTCCACACATGGACTGGGTAGACAGGCATTGAGAATCTTTGACATTATGAAGGGTAGCGATTGCAAGCCAAATGGTTTAACATTTCTTGGTGTTCTGTCTGGATGCAGCAATGCAGGATTAATAGATCAAGGTCAAGATTGTTTTGAGTCGATGATTTGTGATCATGGTATTGAACCATGTTTGGAACATTATACGTGTATGGTCAGGCTTTTTGGAAGATCAGGGCAGCTTGACAAAGCAATGAATCTGATTGAAGGGATTCCATATGAGCCTAGCGTTATGATCTGGAGGGCAATGCTTAGTGCCTCAATGAACCAGTACAATGAAGAGTTTGCAAGGAGATCGGCAGAGGAAATACTAAAGATCAATCCAAAGGACGAGGCAACATATGTTCTACTATCAAACATGTACGCAGGTGCAAAACAATGGGCAAACGTTGCTTCCATTAGGAAAAGCATGAAGGAAAAGGGTGTCAAGAAGGAACCTGGTTTAAGTTGGATAGAACATCAAGGTGATGTGCATTTCTTCA